GGAGTAAGGTGTCAAGGACACGAAGCGGACGGATCTCGAGGACTTCGGTGGGAGTGGCGAACCCGTCGGATCTCTCCGTCTCCGGAAACTCGTTTTCTTTGCGGAGGAGGCGGGAGCGACGTGGCAGGTCGCGACCGTTCTCCCGTTGGCGCGGGCGGTTCGGGATCCGGGTCTCCTTCTCGATTACGTCGGAGGGAGATTCGCCCGGTCCCTCGGGCCGGTTGGGGTGCGTTCTTCGACGGCCGGGAGTCGCGGCGGACTCCTGTGATCCAGCTTCCAGGAGGCAAAGCGAAGCGGATGCTTGCAGACCTGCGCTAAGTTCGACGATCGCCAGGGGTTCGGGGTATTAATCATCTATTTGCAGGTGTGCATCTTCGATTTCCCACCAGCGAACGAGCGGGAACGTGCGGATGAAGGACGACGACGGGATCGGGCGGGAGTAGCGAACCCGTTCGGTGTCGTCCCGTCCGGAATCCCGCTGCTTCTCGCAACCAAGGCGAGAGCGATGTAGCAGGTCCCTCCGTCTCACTCTGAGCGACGCCGAAAGAAGAAGATTCGAAGAAGAGGAGACGACGGCGACGAAGATTCTTCCGACGGCCGACTGCTGCGGCGGCGATTCCTATGTCGACGTCGGAAGTACTCGTTCACTTACTTTTTAAAATTTCTTGGGGGTTCGTCGATCCCGGACGATCCCTCGTCTGTCTTTTCCCACAATCCCGATCAACCTTAGTATTAGAGGATGCGATCAACTAACACTTAACTTTTAACTTTGCCCTTTTTAGGAGACGAAGGTAAGTCTTTATTCCCCACCCGATCGCATTCTCAGGAAACAGGCGAGTTTCCCATCATTTTTCCCCCGTGCGAAGGACCGGAGAGCACTCCCGAAAGGGGCTTGCCGAACGTCCTGGGAAATGCGTTCTCGTCGACGGAGACTAGGGCGAATCTCCCACCAAGTAATCGTGTAGAACGGTAACGTTCTGGCTTCCTGGAGAGGGGACTGAGTGAAATGTAGGCACGACCCCAACGAACGTCCCCCCCCTCTTCATATAAGTCACGCTATTGCGACATGCTCAGGAGTTTTAGTGGGTATGGTTCCCGGTTAGGCTTTCTTCGAATTTCATACCGAGCCCCACACTCCCTCTTCGGAGGGGTTGTGCGTAATCTGCATTTCTCCTGAGATATCAAAAAAAAAAAAAAAAAAAAAAAAGATACAGGTCTGTTCTTGTTTATACGAGCCAAAATCGAACAACTCCCAGGATTTGGGTCCACGACTCTCAACTCGGTGAGACTTTTGGGCTAATTTTTCCCCTCTTTTCGGACTCAACCTGGCTACCTCGGGGCTCTCCCAAGGCATCCAAGCAGAAGCTCAACCCCTAGCGGACGCCTAATCAACGTGGAAAATCCAATCCCAGAATATCTTCGCCCCCTTAAACATCCTCTATACCTATCCTCCAAGTAGTTGGATTACAGGAGTACATCACTACTCTCGGCTTCAATGCCCCCCGTCCCTCCAATTTTTTTTTTTTAAGGTTTTTAAGGTTTTTTTTTAAGGTTAATTAAATAAAAAAAAATATGTTTTTCATAATATATATTTTATTTTAAAAAAAATATACCGGAAGTGAAAATTACAATTCCTTTTTTTTTATTTAAAAAAAAAAAGGTAAACGTCGACGTTTTTAAGAGAGAACCTTTTTTGTTTGTTTGTTTGTTTAAAATAAAACAAAAAGAAAGAAAAGATTAAAATGGGAAGAGACGTTTAAAAAATATTTTTTTTCTAGAACATTCTCTCTCTTTCTCTCTCTCTCTCTCTCTCTCTCGTTTTGATTTTAATTGTTATAAAAAAGTCAAATTTTTTCAAACGGAAGTTGAAGAAGAAGAACAACAACAACAACAACAACAATCATTGTAATAATAATAATAATAATAATAATAATAATAATAAAAGTTTTATGAAAAACGTTTTAAAAATAAATTCGTGAATTTTGATGTGCGAGAGAGAGAGAGAATTTTATTTTTAAACAAACAAAAATATTTTTAAAACGTGGAATTTTTCTTTTTTTTTTTTTTAAATAAAAATGGCGGGCAAAATCCTTCGTTTTCAATAATAATAATAATAATAATAGATATTTAAATGAAGAATTTGTACTCGTTTATTGTCTATCTTAGAAGAACAAATAATATATAAATAAATAAATGTTCTAGAAAATTTGAAATTAATAAATTTCCACGTGTTCCTCATTCAAACATTCGCCATTTTATTATTATTATTATTATTATTATTATTATTATTATTATTATTATTATAGTCAAATTTTGTTGTTGTTTTTTTTCTTTTGTGTTATTGTATTAACAAAAAATAAAGTGGATAACAATGAACGTTTTTTCCGAAAATTCTTTTTTTTTTTTTGAAGGGGTGAGGGAGGGGAGGGAGGGATTCGTTTGTCGGGTTGTTGTACGCGCACGTACACACGCACACACAACAGTCAACACATTTGAAACAAACGATTTTCAAATATAGATTTCACCGTAACGTCTCTTCCTCTTTTCTCTTCTCTCCCTACCCTTCCTCCCCTCTCCTTCCCTTTAAAAAAATTAACCGTGACGATTGTTGTTGTCGTTGTTGTTGTTGTTAAATATGCCGACGAACGTTCCATGAATTTTTTTTTTTTTCAATAAATTTTATTGTTTAAAGGATTCAAAATTTGTCCCGCCATTAATGCCACGTTCGTGGACGAATCCAAAACGAAATAAATAAACGGATGAGTCGCTTCGAAAAAATGAATCCCCCGAAGTCTTTCGTACGGATCCCCTGAAAAAAAAAAAATTTTAAATTATCATTATTATTATTAAACAATTTCGAGAGGGTTGGAAGAGGCTCTCCTCCTTTCGCCCCCCGATCGGAAAATTTTTTTTTTCTCCAGAAACGAATCTCGATCATTTTTTTTTTCTTTCTTTCTTTCTTTCTTTCTTTCGAGAGTAATAATAATAATAATAATAATAATAATAATGATAATTTAAGACGTTGATTAATAACGACGTGAATTCAGGTCGCGTTCTTATAACAGGTATCATTATTATCATTATCATTATTATTATTATTATTCTCATTGTCCGGCTGGATAATTTCTTGTCGTATAATTTTTTTACTTAAATTATTACCCGCCTCCTCCTATTTTCATTATCATTATTATTATTATTATTAATATATAATTTTTCGTAACGATCTGTGCAAAAAAAAAAATTATTGTTATTATCACCATAATTATCATTATCACTACGATTATTATCATTATTATTATTATTATAATAATAAAAAATTTTAAATGATTTTTTTTAAAAACGAGTAAAAGTGTTTTGCTTTTCGTTTTTCTTCTGCTTTTTTTTTTGTTTTGTTCTGAGAGCGAATAAAAATGTCATGCACGATTCGTGACATCGTCTGATGCGAAATCTACCATGATGATAATGATAATAATGATGATAATGATAATAATGATTTTTTTCTCTATACCGAGAGAAGAGTATTCGAGTTTCGTGATTTAAAAATTTTATATGTTTTAATAATACTGTTTTATTACTTTAACCTAAAATATATTAAATGATTCGTTCGTTTGTCGTCTGCTTACAGACGAAAAAAGAATTTTCCAGAAATTTTCCGGATATTCGCGAGAAAAAACCGTAGATAAAAAAAATTATGAAATTCGAACGTATGATTAATTTCTTAACGATGACGAAATGATAAAAAATGACAAGGAATAATAACGAAATGTATCGATTCATTCATTCATTCATTGATCGATTGATTGATTGATTGATTGATTGATTATTGACACCGATCGTATGATTTATCGACGTTTAATTATAAAAACTTTTTGTTTTTGTTTTGGTTTCGTGGGCGCTAACGAATTACGTAAAAAAAAAAAAAATTTTTCCTCTTATTGGAAGTGAGGGAGGAAAGACAATCGTTTGTCTGTTTGTTTGTTTGTTGTCCAGATTTATCCAAATATAAAAATTTCGATCGTTAATAATAATGATAATGGTTTGCCAACGGATATTTTCGCGTTGAAAATAAAATAAAAATCAAAATTGGAAAAAGTTTTAAAAATGTAAATTTTTTTTTTCTTTTAACGTTTTAAAATTATTATTATTATTATTATTATTATTATTATTATTATTATTATTATTACTTTTTTTTTTGTTTTTCACGTGATTCAAATCAAATTTTGACCGAATAAAAATGCCAACAATTAAGTGAAAGTTGAGAAAACGTTTGTTGTTGTTGTTGTTGTTGATGATGCATCCACCATTTAATACGTTCATTACTTTTTCATTTTTTTTTTTTTTTTTAATTTATATTCTTACAACAATAATTTCATTGCCAAAACGTTTTTTGTTTTGTATTGTTGCGAATCATAAATTAACGATTTTTAATAATAATAATAATACTAACGAAATAATAATAATAATAATGGAATTCGTTAAAAACTTTTGCGGTTCGTAATGTAATATAATATTTCCACGAAACGTATAAGAAATTTACAAAAAAAAAAAAATTTTTAATTATATATATATAAATAAATATTGGGTTTAATTAAATATTTTCATTCCACGACGATAATGATAATAATAATAATAATAATAACGGACGTTTTGACAGGTTAAAAACTGACCACAAATTTGACGGGTGACCTCTTTTTTTTTTTTTTGTATTTAATTTTTCGTTTGTCGAACGAGCGAGCGAGTGAATGATAATAATATTATTTAAGAAAGGAAAAGTTTATTATTATTATTATTATCATCATCATCAATTTCACGTGACCTTTTTTAAATTATTATTATTATTAAAAATTTAAACGGGTTTGTAAATAGTAAATAAATAATAAAATAAAAAAAATGTATGTATATACATTCTAATAAATTTAAAACGCGTGACACTTTTTACACGAGTGCATTGCAAATTGCATAAGTTTTAAAAAAAAGGGGAAAAAAATTTTCGTAACGTTTTAAAAGATGGTGGAAAAACCTGAAGAAAAATGTTTTATTATTATTATTATTGAGAAAAGGATAGAAAATGTACGAAGTAAGATGGTTTGAGTCGGAGGTGGGGTGAGGGGGAAAAAAATCTCATTAAAGTTTAGTTTAATTGCATTTTACAACAATCCGTAAAAAATAAATGGTGTGCATCCGCACGATGGGCGGGGGGTACATAAAAATAAAAATAAAAGAAAATTTTTTTTTTTTTTACTCGTTTCCGCCATATTGCTTTTTTTTCTAAAGTAATCGGAAAAATAAGGTACGTTTGAAATATACTCACTCGTTTGTATATCAAAAATTTCAACGTAATTCCTAATGACGACGGTTACGGATTGTTCAACGTTACGCACATATAATTCGGGATCCTTTGACATACCGCATAAATTTGATTTTCTCGAATCGAAAACATCCCAAATTCCAAGCTGAAAAAATTAAGTAATAATAATAATAATAATAATATATCGAATAATCGTTTGTTGTTTGTTTTAACTTCGAATGATCGTTTTTTTCTTAAACAAAAATAAATAATAATAAATTACAATTGGAAAATTTGTTTCTGTTTCTGCTTTTTTTTTTGGGAAGGGGGTAGGCGAGAAGAGGTAGGAGGGGGTAAGGGGGTTGGGGTAGAATAAGGGGTTGTAAATAATTGAACGTGTGTGTGCTCGTGTGTAAAATTAAGTATTAAAAATTTTCTTATTTATTTTCTTAAATAATGAAATTTCAATTGATCCTTTAAATCATCCATCCTTCTTATTTCCAATCTTGTTTTTCTTTTGTGTGTGTGTGTGTGTGCGTGCGTGTGTGAAAATTACAAAAGAAAAGAAAGAGAAAAGAAGAAAGAAGAAAGAAAAATTATAGGCCACCTGTGGAAAAGTCTCTGACTTGCAAGCTGTATTTGGCACTTTATCACCTCTGATAACCTTTGGGGAATGTACATTAAAAAAAAAAAAGTTATCTTGTAATAAAACGTCGTGTAAAAAGAATAATAATAATAATAATAATAATAATTATTGATTTATTTTTAAAAAAAAACGATTTTTTTTTACCTTTTTTAAAGATGGCGTCAATACGACGAATCCTTCTACCATAAATGTTGGAATAATCGCATGAACTTTTACTGGTTTTATACTATCGATAACTTCTCTTATTGAATAATTTTCTAAATCGTATAATAATTTTCTAATTCCTCTTTTTTCGATTGGTAATAATATCAAAAGTTTGTAACGAACATCCTTCATTTTGAAAAAAAGAAAAAGAAAAATTTTTTTTTAAAAATAACGGTTTTTAACGTAAAAAAGTTCGTTAAGTTTGCAACATTTGTTTGTTTACAAATACAACTACTGACATCTAGCGGAAATTCCAAAGCTTTACAATGAAGTCTAGGTATGTAACCGTAAGGGAAAATGTTTGTATACGTCATCATCGGTACAGGAACATCGATGGCACCATTTATTGAAAATAATAAACGTGGTAAATTTTTATGTATGCTGTTGTAACCGCTGTCGGATAATTGATGATGATGATGATGATAATTTCCTGGCATTCCACCATTTTGTAAATGAACGTTGAGATCTTGTTTTTGAAAATAATCTGTAATTTAAATATTATTAAAAACTTTTCTTTTTATGTGTATTATGAAAATTTCAAGTTTTTTTTTTTTTTTACCTCTCATTGTTCTTTTTATTCTAGGAGGTTTAAATTCTTTTGTGACGATCATTAATGGCTTTGTTGAATTAAGAGGTTTTAAATTGTAAGCTTTACTTGAAATTTTTATGTTTCTAGGACGTCTGTGTGTTAACCCGCTACTAATATTAGGTTTTAATAATGGAACAAATATCAACGTGTTTTCGTTTATATTATAAAAATTTGTTGTTGTTGTTGGATTTTCTGTCGTTTGACTGTCATCGGTTGTTATTTTTGTTTGAGTTGTTGTTGAGTCGGTTGTGGTTGTTTCAGGTGTAATGATTGTTGATTTTTCTGTTGGAAAAGTATTTGTTAACTGAGTTGTCGTTGTATCGATCGTTGTTGATTCTGTTGTAAAATGATTGTTTGTTGTGGTTTGAATAGTTGTGCTACCGCTATCCTCTGGAGATGTGTTTGTTTGAAAAAGAGTCGGTGTATTTTCATCCGTGGTTTGTGTGAAAATAGAACTAACGGAAGTTGCAGACTCGGTGAGGGTACTAGGAGAAGTGCTTGTTTCGGTTGTATAAGGATTTGTAGAAGTATCAGTCGTTTCAGGGGTCGTTGAAGTTTCAGTCGTTGTAGTATCACTGATTGTCATTTCAGTCGTTGTAGTGTGAATAGTAGACGTAGGAGTTTCGGTGATTTTATCATTACTGGTTGTCATTTCGGTGGTAGTAATTGTAGTATGGGCACTAGTCGTTGAAGTTTCAGTGGTAGTACTAAGAATGGTAGTTGGAGTTTCGGTGATGGTACTACTGCTTGTAGTCGTTTCGGTGGTCTGAGGGTTGGTTGTTGGAGTTTCGGAGATTGTACTACCATTGGTTGTTATTTCAGTGGTAGAAGCGTGAACAGTGGTTGTTGGAGTTTCAGCTAATGAACTACCACTAGTTGTCATTTCAGTGGGGGTAGTAGTATCAGTATAAGCATTAGTCGTAGGAGTTTCGGTTATTGTACTACCACTAGTAGTTGTTTCAGTGGTAGTCGTCTGAGCGTTAGTCGTTGAAGTTTCGGTTGTTGTCATTTGAGGAATGGTAGTTTGAGCTTTAGTCGTTGGAGTTTCGGTTGTTGTCATTTCTGTGGTGGTAGTTTGAGCGTTAGTCGTTAAACTTTGGGTGGAAGTCATTTCAGTAGTAGTCGTCCGAAAATTAGTCGTTGGAGTTTGGGTGGAAGTCATTTCAGTGGTAGTTTGAGCGTTAGTCGTTGAAGTTTGGGTGGAAGTCATTTCAGTAGTGGTGGTTTCAGGATTAGTCGATGGAGTTTGGGTGGTTGTCATTTCAATGGTAGTTTGAGCGTTAGTCGTTGAAGTTTGGGTGGAAGTCATTTCAGCGGTGGAGGTTTCAGCATTACTCGTTGAAGTTGGGGTTGTTGTCATTTCAGTAGTGGTGGTTTCAGGATTAGTCGTTGAAGTTTGAGTAGAAGTCATTTCAGTGGTAATCGTTGGAGTTTGGGTGGTCGTCATTTCAGTGGTAGTTTGAGCGTAAGTCGTTGGAGTTTGAGTGGAAGTCATTTCAGTAGTAGTGGTCTGAGCATTAGTCGTTGAAGTTTGGGTGGATGTTATTTCAGTGGTAGTGGTCGGAGCGTTAGTCGTTGGAGGTTCGGTTGGTGTCATTTGAGTGGTGGTAATTTCAGTCAGTGCAATAGAAATTGGTAAAGTTGTTGGAGTTTCGGTGATTGTACTACTAATATCGGTGGATGATGCATAAGTGCTTGTAGGAGTTTCATTCAATGTATTACCACTTGTCGTCATTTCCGTAGAAACGGTGTCATTATTTTTCATTGTTGTTATCTCACCGATTAAATTTTTAACCGGTGGAATTGTCGAAATAAAATTTGTAGTAAACATTCCCGTAGTTGTACTCATTGTTTGCGTCTGCATCGTCCTTTGTTTTGTAGGCCTAAAGTTATTAGTCGTGGCAGTAAGTTTATTTTTTAAAGTCGTAGAAATCGGTGTTGTATCCATCGCTTCTGTTGTAGTTCGATCATCAATCGATGTGGTTTCAGAAACCGTATCCGTTGTGGTCGAAAATGTTGACGTAACATTCGAAACAGTCGTAGAGGGGTATTGCGTAAAAGAAGTTGTTTTCGAATTCCTATCCGTTAATGTTGTTGTGTCCATCATAACCGTGCTCATCCTCTTTTCAGCTTCCACCGGCGTTGTAGATCCGCTCTCAGAAAAATTATCAGACAATGTCGATGTACCTAAAGATGTTTCTGCTTCCGTCGTGGTTGTTAACATTGTAGTAGTTCCTTGATTCTCCGTCGTTGATGCTGTCGCCGACAATGTCGTTGGTAATTCCGTGTATTGGGATTGTGGAATCAGCATTCCATTATCTAAACTAGCATCCAAATCATTCGTTGTCGTTCTACTTGTAGTAGATTCCTTACAAAACAAAAAACAATCATAAATGCTGTATTAAGATAATTATTTCATTTAAAATCACGTACTTGTGTAGAAGTTGTTTCCGTAAAAATCTCATTCGTGGTAGTAGACGGAATTGTTGAACTAGTCAATTCACCAACATTTTCCGTAGTAGTAGTACTTTCTTTCGAAGCAGTAGAAAAATCAGTCGTTGATGTAATTTCTGTACTTTTTTCCGTAGTATCCCCATCGGAAAATGTCATCGACGTATTCATTTCCGTTGTAGTTTTAACATCATCGACGGTAGTAGTTGTCGTTGTTGCTTCGGTCGTACCACTGCTAGTTATAATTGTACTTACTTCCGTTTTCGTAATTTCATTTGTACTTTTATCTAAATTGATCGTTGTCGAATCAAAACCTTGAGAAAACATCGTTGTTGAAAATTTTTTACTTGAAACGTTTTCTTCCGTAGTTGTGATAAAAGCTACAATTATCAAATACTGTAGATTAAACCAGACACACAAACAAACATAAAAATATGTATTTTGGTCAAGAAAGAAGGAAGAAGAAGCAGAAGAAAACAAACGTTTCGGAAGGATGCTTTTAAATTACAGGTAAGTAAAATAAGAAGAAGATAGCCTTCGAAATCAAACAAACAAATGCAATGTAAATTCAATAGGAAAATTTTTTTTCACGCATTAAAAATGATATCATCATCATTATCACCATCATCATCACGAACAATTCAATTGGAATTTTTTTTTTTATTTTTAGATCGTAAAAATTTTTCCTGGGTAAAGAAAAATCCCCGGAAGTTTTCTTGTTGTTTCACTGAGGCCTTGCCCGCAAGTGTGAGAAAATTGCAACCCCCCCTCAACCCCTAACTCACCTGGAGTTGAAGAAATCATCGGAGTGATTTTAGTAGTATTCATACTATTATTATTATTATCATTATCAACATTATAACCGTAAAATTTTAATATCATTTTAAATTCCGGCGTTAACGTCGTTGTTTTTTTATTTAATGTCATGCCGGTTAAAAAACCATCGTGACTGAAATAACTCTGTAACAAAAAAAAAAATCGATCGATAAATCGATAAATTTTTGGCGCCAAAAAAAATTAAATTGAATTTTTATAATTAATACCTTTAAACGATCGTGTATGTCACGAAATCCCAAACGAACGATAAATTTATTCCATGGAAAACTTAAAGTCCTTTGAATTTGCACCGCCGATTCGCCGCAAGAACCTTCGTATAATAAAACAAGTACGGATGCCAAACCGTATGGTGAAAATGCATAATTACCACCGGTAAAAGAATTATCCTGTACTCCGCCCCCGCCCCCCAAAAAAAACACACACATTTTATCAATTTTCTCCATAGAGAAACAAACCGAAAAAAAAAAATCTTTTCGCCATGATAATTTTTACGACTCTCTCTCTCTCTATCTCTATCTATCTCTCTCTTTCTCTCGTCTTTTACGACTTTTGCAAAAAATTCACAGACGTAATAAAAATAATAATAATAATAATTACAATCGTTTTTTTCCCTACCTAAACGAATGAATGAATGAAAATAATTAAAATTTTTTCTTATAAAGTTCTTTTCCTTTAAGAAATTTTTTCTAACCGTTATATCATTATTATTATCATCATCATCACGTGACGAATTCATCCCCCTCGTCACATTTTTGTTTGTTAAAGGGATTACCTCTCCTATAATCCTCATAAGTACAACAACCACGTGGTCAATATTTCTTCTTTTTTTTTTCTTCCTTTGTCCTTTATACTTAATCTCTCAACCGCAACCGTTTGTTTTTTTTTTTTTTTTTTGTTTCGTCTTGCACGCGTTTTTATAACTTTTTATTATTATTATTATCATCATCATTATCATCATTATTATCATTATTATAACGACGAGTTTGAAAAGTAAAAACTGGGTTTTTATTATTATTTTTTTCTGGGTATTTAAATTTGAAAAAAAAAAAACAAAAAAACGGTCGTTTTACTCTACTTTCGATTACGTCTGTCTTAAAATAATTTGTGTTCAGTAATAATAATAATAATAATAATAATGATGATGATGATGATGATGATGATGACAATGATGATGTTTGATAAGATTTTCGCAAAAAAAAAAAAACAATCGAAAGAAATTTTTTTTTTTTTTTTATAATTTCGACATGTGAATGTTTATAAAAGGAATGTCAAAGAAAAAATTATTATTATTATTATTGTGAAAATGTCATTTTTTTACGTTCGAAAGTAAGCAGACTCTTTTTTCGTTTGGGGAGAGAGAGAGAGAGAGAGAAAGTAAATACAAAAAAATAAAGAAAAGAAAAAAAAACTCACCCGGAGTATGGCCACACCTAATGCGTTTGTTATATCGACCATTAATTCCATTGAATTTTTTTCCGGTTGAAAAGGTTCACGATGAAAATAATAATGAAAAGGTGGGGGTATTGGGGGTGGAGGTGGCGGAGGAGGTGGAGGAGGAGGCGGTGGTAAATAAGTCCAAGAACTGTGATAAGAATTTTTACTAGGTGGTAAATAATAATGCCACCTACCCGGCATGACTTGCCACGTAACTGAAACGACAAAAAAAATTTTTTAGAACCCTATGATATTTATCATCATCATCATCTTCACCACCACCACCGCCACCCACATTATCATCATCATTATCATCAATTTAAAAAAATTAAAACAAAGCCGACGAATTTTTTTTTTTTGAAATTAAGTAAAAATTAAGGATCGGGCGGTAGTAAGAAGAAGAAGGAGAAGAAATCGGCGGGAAAAAAACGGAAATCTTCTGCCACGAAAACAAAAAAAACATATCGGGAAGGGAGGTAGGGGAAGAGGGAGGGAAAGGGGGAGGGGAGGAAGAGAAAAAAAACGAAAAAAACGATCGAAAAAATAATAAAATAAAATAAATAAATATGCGGAAAAAAATTTTTTTTTATAAAAATATACAAACGCACTCACGCGCGCACGCACCCACCCACCCACACGCATTTATATATATTATTATTATTATTATTATATATATATTATAACATTTATAAACAAAATATATATATATATATATATATATATATCAATATAATTTATATAAACAAAACAAAAGCGAAACGATTCAAACGATTTTTTCCACTTATTATATTCAATATTATTCCCTATTTTTATATTCAAATGGAAAAAAGAATTTTATCATTTTCAGGACCGTAGTCAGGTTATTAAATAAATAAATAAATCAAATAATAATTAAAATCTCACCGTGTGCAATTATGAATATCCTACCCCAAAACATTTTTTTTTCTTTTAAATATTAAAAATCACTTTCGCACATATTAGTAGTAGTTGTTTCAGTTGTTTCGTTTGTTGTTGTGTTTGTTTTGGTTTAGCGGTTTTAATCCTTCAGGTTCGCTTCGGTACCTGTGTGATACGTATCTGCGCTATCTCTGCTTTTTTTTTCTTTTGGACTTTTTTTTTTTTCGGAGGAGGAAGTAGTTGTTCGAAACGCCGATTTATACTAAAAACATTTTCCATTTGCTTTTTTCTTATTCTCGTACTGCCTCCTCCTCCTCCTCCTCCTCCCACCCGATTCCCTCTCCACCGTCCCCTCCTCTCCCTCCGCCATTTTACAAAGGTCATAAAACTTTACGTATAAATTTTATTCGTTCGTTTGATTGTCGTCGTCGTCGTCGAGTATTTTTGCATTAAGTACTCGTTTTTTTTGTCTTGATCCACGAGTCACGTGAATATTATTATTATTAGTATTATCATCGTAAATTAATGAGGGGAGAAAAGAAAAAGAAAAAAATGGCAAGTTTTTAAAATGGCAGGAGGGAGAGAGAGGGGGAGGGGTGAAATCGAAAGGAAAAAAAAAATTAAAAAATTTTCTTTTACCACGACGACGACAAGGTTTTCTTTTTCCTAAAAAAAAAGAAATTATTTAATTTAAATCGTGGATGGAAAAAAGGAATTCGTAATTTTATCCATTGACAAGAAAAAAATTTTCCATTGTCAAAGGAAAATCCATCAAAGAAATATCCATCAAAGGAAAATTCGTTTTGTTTTTTTTTCGTGTCATTTTCTTGTTATTGTTTTCTAATAACAAAAAAAAATTTTTCCTCCCCCCCCCTGCCCGTCGATTTAATATTAAATTTAATATGATTGATTATTGATTTCTTCACGGGAAAAACGTGGCAGAAGAAAAAATGATTTTAATTTATTAATAATAATAATAATAATAATAATCATGGCCGCATCGAACGGATATTTTATAAATAATAAAAAAATTTTTTTTTTCTTGTTGGTTGGGGGGAGGTGAGGAGGAGGGAAGGGTGGAGGGGGAAGGGTGGAGGGGGAAGGAGGAAAGGAGGGAGATTTTCCTCGAAGAAACTCCCGAATTTTTTTTTTTTATACATTTTCAACAATTTTTTCCTTTTAAAAAGGAAAAAAAAAAAGAAAACATTCGCAATCGGAAAATCTTAAGGGTAAAAGCTTTCGTTTTGATATCGAATTAACTTTTCTTTTTTTTTTTTTAATACTTTAAAAAAGGAAAGAAGGGAGGAAGAAAGAATATTTTTCCTTTTTTTTCGGGGTGGAGGGAAGGGAGGAAAAGGTCGAAAAAACCCCACGTATTGAAAATTAAATTTTTATTAAAATAAACCTTTTAAGGTTTCGAAGTCGAGAACGGTCCGTTTATCGGCCGTTTTTTTCCTTTTCCATTTACAAAAAGAGAGAGACCAATGAAAATTAATACTCGAGTTTGGCATTTAACCAAAATAATAATAATAATAATAATAATAATAATATTCTTCTTCCACTTCTTTTTTTTTTTAAATTAACAACTTCCATTGAAAATAATCAACGGTTCACGGTTTTTGAATTCAATGGATTATGAACCTGAAATTTTTTATAAAAAAAAATAAAATTCTTCATTTTTTTTTTTCGTAATTAATGTGTTTGATTTGTTATTACGTGTTGTTTGTCCACGCTGGAGAAAAAATAATAATAATAATAATAATTTTTCCTCCTTTTTTTCTTTTTTTTAAATGAAAACTTTTTGGAAAAGTTTTAGACAAAAATTTTCTACCCCGAAAAAAATCCTTGAAAAGTTATCTTTTTTTTTTATTTTTTTTTTTTAACGTCGGAAGTCGTTTGGACAAACAAACAAACAAAAAAAGGAATAAATTTTTTTGTTTGTACGTTGTTTGTACGCGTGCAAAGATTTTTGACAAACTCGCACCAAAAAAAAGAAAAAAAATGCGAAACGGGTAATTTAACTCAAATATTCATACGTGTAATTTACTTTTCCAAAAAAAATCCCTCGAAGGCATTTTATTATCATCATCATCATCATCATTATTATTATTATTACAAATTAAATTATCCCTCGAAAGGATACCTAAACAAACAAACAAACAAATAAAAAAAAGGTATCCGAAACCTGCAATTGAAAATGGAAACGATGATAAAATTACAACAACCGTAATTATTTTTCCTTTGCAAATAATTAATTTCATCGATGTATCGATATATCGATCGATCGATCGATCGATTTAAAACCATCTCCGAGTTTACATCATTTAAAAAAAAATAAGGATTGGGTTGTAGTTGTAGTTGTTGTCGTTTGTTGTTAAAAATTAAATATTATTTTTTATGAATTTTCGTGTAAAAAAAAATTTTTGTCGTGGCATTAACCTCAAGAAAAAAAAATTGTTGTGGCACTAGCAGAAAAAAAAATTGTCGTGGCGTTAACCAAAATAAAAAAAAATAAACGTAATCCACGTATGGATTTTCCTATAGAGAGAGAGAGAGAGAGATGAAAGGTTTATATATAAATATGTGACGTCATAAAATAAAATCAAAATGGAGTCGACGGCTAATTAGCGTAGTACTTATATTTGGACTAAAAATTTTATTTTCATAACGAACAAAATTTAAAATAAATAATATTAATATTAATTATCAAACGTGGGATTAAATAAAAAGAAAAAAAAAGGTTCGATGACGTAAATTTACGCGCGTTAATTAATTCTTACGTCACGACGACGACGACGTAGGTGGCGACGTCGGCGGCGACACCGGCGATCATTTCAAGGTCATCTCGTTCCTTTTTCTACCTAATTAAATTTTCCTTTTTAAATAAAACCTTTTAATTGTTAAAACAATTTTTCCTTTTACTTATTTTCCTTTTTCGTCATCATTTTACTTCTTCTTGAAGTAATAATAATTACACGAACGGATTCTCGTAAATTTATTTCCTCCCCCCCACCTTTTCTATTTCCGGTGCGTATTTTTCCTCGATACGCCGCCATATTGCCGTAATTTAATAATAATTATTGAATAAAAATAAATAATTTTAATTTTTTTTGCTTTTCTCGTTCGATTTTAATAATAATAATAATAATAATAATAATAATAATAATAATAATAATAATAATAATAATAAATAATTCAGTTTTTTTTTTTAATAAATATATATATATTTTAATAATGTTACTACGTATTCAAATGATTTGTAATTTATTATAAATTTATTAAAATTTTTTCTTTTTGAAATTTTATTTTTATGTAAATAATAATGATAATGATAATGATAATAATAATAATAATATTAAAATCAATGACGACGACGTGAATTAAGTAAAATAAAATGACAAATAAATGGAGACAAATTGTCTGGAATGTTATGGACGAAAAAAATTATTATTATTATTATTATTATCATTTTTTTTTCTTACTTATGAGGTCGTAAAAATGATTCAATGAAGGAGAAAAAATGAAAAAAAAAAAACGGGGGGGAGACTGGTGGGGGGAGGGAAATTGAAATTTTACATATTTTTACGAAAAAGAAGAAAAAAACTCCTGCGTGACAGACATTTTAAAAATAATTTTTTTTAACGGTTTATTTTATTTTTTTTATAAGGGCGGATGAAAACACCCCCCCACCTCCCTCGACGACGACGACAAATTTCGATTATCGAAAAATATCGAATCGAAATTTTTTTATTATTTTTTGAAATTGAAATTCACGTTTCGTGACGGTCAATCCGATCGATAGAATTATTTATTAATAATTAATAATTAATAATAATAATGATGATGATGATGATGATGATGATGACGACGATGACGATGACGATGACGATGATGATGACTATAAATTAATTTTTAAAAAAAAACTTTTAGAAATGGATGTTTATCGGTGCGCGACATATATGTCAAGAAAAAAAATAATTACTCGCTTGTTGTTAAATTCTTAGAGTAATTAAATTATTATTATTATTATTATTATTATTATTATTATTATTATTATTATTACTATTATTGTTTAATAAAACAAATACGAGTCTGAACATAACGAAAATAATTGTTCAGGTAAATGAATTTATTTTTGAAATTTAATAATAATGTAAATATTGACGTATGTTAAATGAAGAGCTTTTTGCATCTCTCTCTATCTCTCTCTTTATTTGTTCTATTCTTTCTTTTACTCTCTTTACGTTTTTGTTTTCTCTCTCTCTCTTTTTCTTCCACACTCTCCTCTTTTCTCTCTCACATTTATATTTTTTCTATTCTTCTCTCTCTCTTTTACTTTTTTTTCTGTCTCTTTTATTGTTTTTTACTCACTCTCTCTTTCTCTTTTACTCTTTTTTTTTGTCAATTGTACTATTTTTCACTCTCTCTCTTACTCTCTCTCTCTCTCTCTCTGTTTTACTCCCTGTATTTTACTTTTCTCATTTTTTACTTTTATTTTCTCTTTCTTTTACTCTCTTTATCTCATTGTTTTCTCTGTCACTCTCTCCTTTTCTTCTATTCTCTTCTTTTTTCTCTCTCACATGTAAATTCTTTAATCTTTTTTTTTATATTTCTTCTACTCTTCTTTCTTTCTTTCTCTCTCTCTCTCTTTCTCCCATATTTATATTTTCTTTTTTACACCGTTCGTCTTTGTTTTTCTATTTGTTTAGTCTCTTTTCTTTACCTTTGCCTCTCTTTTTCTCAACCTTTTTCTTTCTTCCCTTTCTATCTTTCACTCCTTCTCTCTCTCATATTTATTATTTCTCTCTTTTACTCATTTCTCACCTTTTTTTCTCTATCTTTTTCTACCTTTTCAACAAACTTTGACTCCATTCCCTTTTTATCTCTCCTTCTCTTTCTTTCTCTCAGTCAATTTCTTTTTCCCTATCTTTATCTTTATTTTCTTTCTATCCTTTACTATCCTTCTCTCTCTCTCTCTCTCTCTCTCTCTTTCATATTTTTTTTCTATTTCTTTAACTCTTTTCTTCTATTTCTTCTACATTATTATTCTTTTTCTCATTTACTTTTATTTTTTCTTACTGTCCCTTTTCTCTCTCTCTCTCTCTCTTTAATAATAATGATTGATGAGAGCTTTAAATATACTTTATTATTATTATTATTAAATAGAAAAAAAAAATTGAAAAAGAGAAAAAACGAGTTGATAATGTATCAATTATGGAAAGAACGACGAACAACAACCTTCTCCGTAATCATTTATCATTCGTACAAAAAATTATTATTATTATCATCATCATTATTATTACTACCACCACAACTATCATCAACATTATTATTATTATTATTATTATTTTACATTACATTAAATACGAAGACACATGGGTCGAACGTTAATAATTTGCCCATTGATTAATGTATTAGAAAATATTCATTATCGCATTTTTATTATTATTATTATTAATTACTGATTACGGTCCTGAAAAAAAATTTCTTATAATTTTTTTTAATGACAGTGTCAATGATTTGCCATTCATGCCCCGATTCTTGGACGAATAATAATAATAATAATAATAATAATAATAATAATAATAATAATAATAATTAATTATACGATTGAATTAAAGCGGAAAATTTTTTTTTTTTTTTACTGGCTTTCGATGATCGTAATACGAAAAAAACGAATGGAAAAATTTGATTTGATTTTTTTGTTGTCGCATTTTTGTAAAAATTTTTAAATTCCGAGTGAGTTGATTTTTGAAAAAATTGCGACAAAAAAAAAAGAAAAAAAAAAAAAACGTTTTCATAAAGTCAAAAATTTTTGTTTTTCACGGTTCGCGTATTACTTTTTTTTTTTAATGTTTAAACCGGGTAATTTTTTTTTCCTTTGTATTTTCCTTTGTCTTTTTCCTTTTTTTTAATCATTTTTTTCCCATTTAACACACACGCACACACGCACGTACGAAAAAAAAAATCATTCCTTCTTTCATTTGTTCTTTCATTTTTTTTTTCTCTCTCTCCACTTTGATCTTTACTTCATCATCATTATTATCATTATTATTATTATTTCTTCGCCGTATTACGTTTTTTTTTATGCTTTTATTAATGATGTTTATAATTCCGTTTGGAAAAAGAAAATTATTATTATTATTATCATCAATATAAATTTTTTTTTTTTCCATCTCCATCTCCATCTTAAAAAGTTTTTTAATAAAAATGAAAAGGAAAAAAAACCGGAAAGGGGGAA